AATATTAAAATTATAGTAAGCCTATTTAGTTTAACGTGATGAAGGATGGCAGTTGTTTCATTCAAGGTAGTATACATGGTCATGGAAAATTCACATGTGATTGTGTAGAAATTCAACCATCAGTCCTTCAACATCTTTGACTAAATGGTGTGAGTACAGCTCTTGTAGCAGATCTACTTATGAACTGGAAAATGACTAATGTAATCGATTATAATAACAAATATAATTTTGTTTTGTCGAAAATCCCACCACAGAGATTTGATATGGTAAAGGCCCATGCTGCACTGCCACACCCCTGGTTCGAGTCCTGGTGGAGGTGCTGACGAGCCCCAGGCGAGGCCGAAACTGCAATCCATCCCTGCTTGGATGGGAATGCCTTTAGGGAAGCAAGGCTGTGTGAAATGCGATGGAAATGTGATCGTGGGAGAATTCACCGTCGACAAAACAGGGCGAATATACTTCTTATTCATGATCTACAGGTGGTCTGCAAAAACGGCTATTACACGAGAAAAGGAGCTGTTTTATTCAATCCAATGGAAACAATGAGAGTGAGCCATGAGGCATTATTTTTGTGGATACCATTCTCCCTACACCTTTTGCTTGCGCTAGTTCGAATGAAATTTTGCCATCTCAACCTAGACGCAAGAGTGGACTTTAGAGGGTAATTATTGATTCAAAAATGGAGACTGGTGACCGTAACTCAGAGTCCCATGATTCTTTCCTCAACAGTCCTGTTTCTAGAGCCTTTTAGTCCGACGCATACAAACACACACTAACAGACACAAAAATATTTATATATATGTGTGTGTGTGTTTGCATGCGTTTGTGCACATACTCATGTACCCTGACTTAGAGAGACTAGAAGTACCATCACGGAAACTCAGGGTTGACCACTTCGTCAATTCAGTTTGTGAGCAGTTGAGCTCTTCAGGTATCCGGACGTGTGTCACTCGATTACGCCGTCTTCGTTTCCCTCTCCTCTTAACCCAGCATACCCTTTGCTGATCATGGGCCTTCTCTAACGGCCCAACAACCCATTCCGGCGGGTCAGGTGGGATGCCAGAGAAAAGCTTCGTCCAGAGCGACTGAGGCAGAAGGACATTCTGTCACCAGGCCAGCCGAAGAGGCATTGGTGACTGTTTGTCTCGGGTTTGTGACGAGTCCATTTCTTGTCGACGGATTTCGTGTTGCCGCGCTGACGACTCAGCCCATGATGAAGTCTATGGAAGAGCAATTTCCTTCTTCCTACATTCCAAAAAAGCCATTCTCATCGACAAGTCAGACTGCCTCGGCATCTGTTCAGCAGACCAAGCGGGATACGGACCTTTGATGTAGCACATTTGTCGGATAACATCACCTTAACGGGAACTTCTGGCTGAGTTTTCGTGAACCGAAACAACATCAGCTAAATGCAAGGACCAGTTGAAAATGCGGCAAAAGTGAACCACTTTCTATTCTCGAGCAGTAAGAATGGCGATGAAGCCGAAGAATATTGAAGCAGCAAAGGAGAATGATGAGGAGAAATAGAAACACGGATCAAGGGTTTGAATGACACCTCGAGTCAGCCGAGTTTGAAAGGATCTCACGATGCAATGCGCCAGAATGACTCGAATTTCCACTTGGAGGGAATTGGTGAATTGGGCGTACCGGGAACAAAAGAAGGAGTTCAGTGAAGGGAAGTGAAGACTATTGGAAGGTGCGACTCACCGTTCCGCGGCCTCGGAGAACTTGTGCTAAACTTTTGTCTGCAATCTGACAGACGTGGTGAGAAGTAAAAACGATAATATACGAAAATCGCAACAATATTCTAGACCAAAAGAAAATCTGGTCGACTGCAACTTCAGCCACTTAAGATACCGAGTCTTGTGGTCTTAATGAGGCTTGGCGATGAGTGAAGTTAATGAATGAACAGGAAGTGGATGCCTCTCGTGAATGGGTGAGTAAAAGGTCTCAAGATGTCGTTGAATTTCACTCGGACTCGCCTCTCGACACAGTTTCTCATCCAGCCTGAACTGCCGTTTCGGCACAGCCTCCGTTTCATCAACATTCACTTGTGGGAAATGCAGATTAACCTCAAATGACCGCGGTTGACGGAGCTCTTTTGTCTAGAAATAGATTGGCAACGAATTCAAGAAGCCTCGTTAATTGTTATGCAAAAGACAAGTTTGCTTCATCTATGGCACAATTAAAAATACGATTTTCAAGAGGCCTGACCTGCCTTTCAACCGGTTGTGTTGCCGGATCACAAAGTGTCGGCACTCGACTTGCAAGCCCGGCTTCGAATCCCAACATGTTGAAGGTGTACTCCACTTTTGAAGGGAAACCCTTCGGGAGGCAAGGCTAAGTAAAATTCATTTGGAATTATGAGGCATTCTACAGATTTTAGTGTGGGAAATGCAATTATCAGGCCATATGCAAACTTGCGAATCAATGGTTAATTCAAGCTAGTATTCAGGATATAAAAAAGTTGTAAATTTTGATATAGTTTACGTGTGATTCACACTTCTCATTCTGGTATGAAAGCGACGCCAATTACAAAGCATTGAAGCAAAAACTTGATTTTGTCAAGTCACCCAGAAAGAGTGCTCTAATTCTGGGCGGCGTATTGCTTATTATTCGAGATCTACGGATAATTATAAAATATATTTTATTCTCATGGTTATTCACAGTCCTCCTTCTTGTAGGAAAGCGAGAACTTGATTTTTTCAAGCCATCCAAGAAGGGTTTTCAACTTTTTGGCGGCGGCTTTTCCGGATGGACTAAACGGCGGAAGAAAAGCTATTTCTATTAGTCATTGTTCAGCTCAATTGTGGTTGAGGATACCCAGTCTGTATTGTCACGGTTCGAGTCACGCTCGAGAGACGGTATCCGTTCCAAAGTTAAAACACTCTCCTAAGGCATTGGAAAGCTCGAATTTTCCCAACTACAGTTAGCAGTCTCTAAGTCCCAGATACAAATTATGGGCACACTTTCAGCTTCAGTCGTCACAGATTTCTCCTGATCAAGCCAAGAGTTTTAGATCTTTTGACTAAAGTAAATAAAAATTAAGCTCTAAATTCGACAAACTGTCCGATTCGAGAGAATGAGAAAACTCCTTCTGACTTTATAAACCTACAATCATTGCCAACATGCAGACAGACACGCACGAGACGACTGCTGCAAACACATCATCAAATTATGACTCAAATTTTTATTTGTAATGGAAAAAATTGTAAATTGTGCCTACAGGAAACCGAATGAAAACTGTCCTTGAGTGAATAATATTTGACTCTACGAAGAAGTCTTCAGCTAAACTTTCATCTTTAATACCGTGGCAGGCCTCTTTAAAGTGAAAAACCATACTTTTATATATTGAGCAAATCTATGCCAAACCAAGCGGGTGTGTGGCCGGATGCAAATCTTCTCATTTCATATATCCCATCAGCAAAGTGTCGAAGTTAACGAAGAGTACATGTTGTAGGCCTGCATTTGGTTGCCTTAAGCCTCCAGCTTATCATGCCACTTCACAGGAATACGGTTGTTCTGGCGATAAAGAAACATATTTTCCGCCGAACGCAGACATTAACGGTGTAAATACCTCATGAATCACTAAATGTGTCCAGATGAGGCAGTACAATTTGGATGAAATTAGCAATTTGGGACGCATTACGAAGTAGCCTTCGACGCAAAATCAAGCCTTTTCAATGCAACCTGGCCAGACAGGA